GGGGGGGCGATGTTACATATTCAAAATACAAATAAACAAGCTAGCTAGCTCGATCTACTTTTCAATCAACCAACCTCCCGCCATCCGCACACACGTCATGATCAGCGACAGCCATGACGGCCCCTGAGATGAACGAAACAGAAAAATAAAGTCGACACAAGAGCTTGTGAAAAGGAAATTACTGCCTACCTTGGTCGAGACCCGACACGGAGGCGTGGGAACCACTTTTGCAGCGTGTTTCCTTTCGTAGCTCACGTGCACCGTTTTCAAATGCGTCTCCAGATGCACATTCTCTGCCGGCGCCCCCGGTGAATTGCACATGAAACCGACTCTTGTCAAGTCACGGCAAGAAGAACCCGAGCGTATGTCGCTTTCAAATCTCACTCGTCACTGGTCAGTCGACGCATCGATGAGCACGTGCGCAGCCGGTTCGGTTGTTTTGTCGTGTTCGGAGCCCCCCCACCCCGGCCAGTCGTACGTTTGCAGTCAGGACTGGGCCGAGCGAAAACGCGTGACTGCCAGCCAGTCAGCTGAGCTCACGGGCCTCGCCCGACGTGCGCCGCGTTGCCCGCCCGCGCTACACCATTTGCAGCGTACGCAAACAAGCCTTTGAAGCTCTCCCGCCGTGTTTCCTTTCCTTCCTCTCGTGTTCTCTCGGGCGCTTATCTTGTACTTGGTGATTGCACAATTGAAAATGCTTCGAATTACATCCGCGCAGCTTTTTTGCCACAATTCAATAAATGAAGCTGGAAGCGGGAAGGGAAGGAAATGCTTACGCTCTCTTTTTCCTCCGTCCTTTTTTTAACACCCCCCCACCCCCTCCCCATCCTCCTTCCCCTCCGCAAGGATGAGAAGTCGACGTTTTTCCAGTTTGGTGCCGCCCTGCAACAGGAGGCCCTCCTCATGCTGGCCATCATGGAGGAGTACGACTGGCACGTCTTCTCCATCGTCACCTCCAAGTTCCCCGGCTACCAGGACTTCATCAGCACCCTCAGGGTCACCGTGGACCACAGGTCGGTCAACCGGTCCGTGCTCGCTCGACGTGCCAATCATGACACAAACGCACGCAACTTTTCGGCCCGCGCCGGTCAAAATTTCATCCGGTCGCACGAGTGCCAGTGAATGTTTTTGAAAATTCTTGCCAGTACTCCATGTAGGAAAAAAGAGAGTAAAGGCGTAAAACTACGTTTTTGGCATTGGTTTTGGTTTTTTTTTTGGAGGCAAAAAAAAAAAAAAAAAAAATCACCCTAAAGGGCTCTCGCGCAGCTCCTCTGTCAGTATCCAGGCTGCAGCAATGAGTTCCGTCTGATGCAAGTTTTGTTCTTTCAGCTTTGTGCGCTGGGACCTGCAGAGCGTGGTGACTCTGGACGCCGTGGACGGAGACCCCAACTCCAAGTCTCACATCGCCCTCAAGAGGATCCAGAGTCCCGTCATCCTGCTCTACTGCTCCAAGGACGAGGCCGTGTAAGAAGCGTTTATGACGCAGACAAAACAGATATGAAACTTGATCATCATCCGGACTCTGACTCCCCCCCCCCCTCCGCCGCCGACAGCTACATCCTGGAGGAGGCGCGCTCGTTGGGCCTGATCGGAGCCGGTTACATCTGGATTGTGTCCAGTCTCACCACGGGAAACCCAGACTTCACCCCCGAGGTACCGTGCAACGATTCTTCTTCTCTTGTCACCGGAGTAGGGCTGCGCAATTCATTGAATTTTCATCATTGATCACCGATTTTGACAGCGATTATTTGATCGGCGGCCATCTTGAAGAAAGAAATGAACTGTTTTTATGCGGCGGGCGTCTTAAGTTTATGTACCGTGTGTTGGGGTCGTGCCGATAAGGAACTGCTCCAAATGCACTCAAACTCTGTTCTTCGAGGCTTTCCTGAGTTGGGTCACATGACACTTGCAATTCGAGCCCGAGGGCACTTTAATGTCAATTTTCAGCCGACAGCGGAGGAGAGAGTGAACGAACAAAATGGCAGCGCCCTTCGGATTAAGCTGCTCAAAGCAAAATCCATGAATGCTAAAACTTGGCGCACAAAATAGCCAGTCCTCATTTTTCGGTCAACCAAAGAAAAAAGCAAAAGGCACAAGTCAACCTTTGTTGTTAGCCCAGCTGTGCTCTGTTACCGTGCTTTTAATTCTTCGGTTTCTGGGAGGGGAAAAAAAAAAAAAGGGGAGAAGCACGCATATTCAGCACTTTTGTGAATGCACTTTTTGGCAGGGAATCAACAGAGCAGGGAGATCAATCCCGGCTTGATGTACCACCTTAATTAAGCTGCAGTCACTTAGCAGAGCAACACCAAAGAAGACGACTGAAAACGCTAATCGACACGATTTCCATCCCAAGGAAGGGGAAAAAAACTGCCGTTGAAATGCGGTTCCTCAATGTCTGTCCGCTGCCCGACCAGGCGTTTCCCCTGGGCATGATCTCGGTGTCCTACGATGATTGGGAGTACCCGCTGGAGACGCGGGTGCGGGACGGCGTGGGCATCATCTCATCGGCAGCCACCGCCATGCTGCGAGAGAAGGGCGAGCTGCCCGAAGCGCAGGGCAGCTGCTACAGCACGCCGTCGGACCGCAGCCCGGGCAAGCTGCCGCCCAGTGCCCTGCGCAGGTGCGTTTCGATGCAGCCTTGTCGATAGGCGCTGCCCAAATGGGTATCCGATGAAAGTGAAAGTGAACACGACAGAAACTTCGTGACGTGTGCCTTGGTTACTTTTATGATATCAACACTGTTGCAAAGAATGTGGCTACTACTACTGCCCAGATGGGCTGCGGGATAACATCCACAAAAAATAAAAAAAATAAGGTGCAGTTTGACGTCCCCGAATGTTTGTGTCAACCCCGCTGCATAGTACTTACTATGTATCCACAGTCATAGATCGTTACCGTTACTGCCTAGATGGGATGCAGAAGAATATCAACGGTAAAGAAACAAGGTGAAGTTTGGTGTCGGAAGCATCACGTTTCCAACATCAACATCAAAAATGTAATTACGCTGAGTAATATTGCCCCGATGGTTTGTGGACGAATGTATAGAGACGAGGTTTGGGTGAGTGCCTTGTTGTGCCGTAGTTCCAGCAAGTAGTCCGAAGTTGTTGCTGGTGCCGCTGAGTTGGGCGACTGAAGAAAGTAAACATAGAAGAGCAAGGTGAAGCTTCACGCGGCATCATTTCTCTTCACGATGCTATCGACGATGTTGCGTCGTACTCAAGTCGTACTCTGAGTTTACTTGTGCTGCCTATTTGGGCTGCGGAAGAATGTAAAAAAAAATAAAAAATGAAACGGGGTGCAATTTGAAGTGGTATTTTGTCTTTCTCGGATCAATGCTGTTGTCTAAAATTTAAGCAGGGACTATGTTGTTACCGGTGCTGCCTTGGCGGGCTGACGAAAATCATGTCTTTTTTGCATTGCTCTGAACAATTGCGTGGTACGGTGATGTGACTGGTTCCACCTCAATGGACTGCGGCAGAAGAAAAACACAAAAGCAGTAAGGCGCTCTGCTCTCTGAAGTGGTTAGCATCATATCAAGTCTGTCACGTCGATATCAGCCGTGTTGCATAGCACATCTTACAGGAAGAACTTTATTTTATTAGTTGTGCTGCCTAAAAGGTCTGCTGGAAAACAAAAACAACAAAGGATCAATCTTCTCTTTGGGGTGGCAACTATCTTGTCTCGAGGATTGTTTCCTAGTGTTGCTGCTAGTGCTACCTAAACAGGCTGCAGAATCAAGTCAGCAAAACCCAAACTAGATTTAGTTTGGTGTAGCAAGGATAACTCTTCAAACGTTATATCAACGGTTGGCGTGCCATGTGTCGTTTTTTTACCGCAGGTTTTACCGTGTTGTTACTTGTGCTGCATAAACGGGCTGCTGAAGAAAGTAAACATGAAAGAAACAAGGTGGCGTTTGGTGTTTGGTGTGGCGTGTGTGTCTTATCTTCGCATGACTGGACGCATAGTCGGGATTAAAGCGGCTTTGTTCTCCTTTCTTGTTGCTTGGCTCTGTGGGTGCCACGCACGCATGCACGCACAGCAGAATAGAAAGGCGCGTGCGAGCGTGCGTGTCTTTTCTGTGAAGATTATTGTTGCTACAGAACGTCTTGCATTGGTAGGCATAGAAGTTTTTGCTCCTTGGCAACAACCAGCAGAAAATGCAATTGATTCAGGCCCAACCAAGACCTTGCCTGAATGGGATGCGACTGTGTATAAACAAATCCAAACCATAAATCTGAATGTAAAAAAACTGCCTGTTTTGACTACTTAGCACACCAAACTTGTTTCCTTTGTGTTTGCTCGGATTTTTTTTCAGCAGCCCGTTTAGGCAACGCTAGTAACTAGTTTGCAATAGGAACACGGCTGTTTTGTTACACTGCGTCTTGAAGCTCTGTTAGAAAAGATCGATTTCACTATCGGTTGGCAACCAGCAGCGAATGCAATTGATTCAGGCCCAACCACGATGCTGCCTAAACAGGCTGCTATGTAAATGCCATTTTTTTTTCCACTGGCTCCACCAGTTTGCTGCCTTCATCGGAGCTCAAAAGGACCAGTGTGAAGTTTGGTGCCCGTTTTGGAATACCCACGACATGTAGCTTAGCCTCGTTTCTTCGGACGACAGCTTTCTTCAGCGCCCCGTTTATGCAGCTTGAGTCGTTCCGAGGTCATGTGGCTTGTCTTTCAAAGTCACGTCGCTGATTTATGAGCGGCTCGGTCGTCCCTCCGCCTCTCCTATTAGCGCATGCTCCCAAATATATCACGGCGCATTTCAATATCTCCGTCGCTGACAGCTTGATCTGAAATTACTCCTTTAACGCTCGCTTCTCTGTCGCCACCAGCTCATTTATCTTGCTAACTTATTACATTGAATTTGCATATTTGTCACAACAACTGAGCGACTATTACATGTTAAGCACGTTTGTGCTCCGCAGCAGCTTTTTTTTTTTCTCAAGTGCTGCGGTCCATTTGAAAGTATTTTATTTATTTATTTATTTTTATATTTAATGGAACCGCCGGAGTGAGCAAAATTCAAAACCCGACGCTCTTTATTTTTATCCCCCAAAAAAGATGTTCCCTCACACAGGAATAAAATGTCTGAGACCCTTTTGACTTTGACTATTTATGTTTTTGGGGGGGGGAAAGTGCTCGCCCAACAGCGCGACACAAATACTTGAATAATAGAGTAGAGCATCGAAACACAGCAGGAAGACACAGAGGACAAGAGTGAATGATGGCTGAACGGGCTGCTAAGCAACGTCAAAGTCAAAGAAAAAAGGTGAAGTTTGGTGCGGAAACTCGTTTCTCATGTTTGAACCAAGAGTGTTGCGTAGGACTACTTGCAGTAAGTATTACGTTATTAGTTGTGCTGCCTAAAGGGGCCACTAAGGTCCGCAAACATAACAGAACCAAGTTAAAGTTTGTCTTGGGAAATACAGTATCGTGTCTCAAATTCTCAATTCAACTCAACTCAACTGTATTTCTCGAGCACTTTCAAACAGCCATCGCTGCATCCAAAGTGCTGTACATGGAGCAATTTAACATATACAACAAACAGTAAAACAGAATTCTGACCTCAACAATGTCACGTACCACTTCCAGTCAGTGCGATGTAGTTAATGGCGCTGCCCAAACAGGCTACTGAAGAAAATAAACAGAAATTTGGTGCCATAAGTCTCATTTTGGGAATGTTAATGTCAACATTGTTGCATAGTTCGATACCGTTTCTAGTGCTGCCTAAACAGGGTGTGGAGGTAAGGAAACATAAGATAAACAAGTGTTCAACGGATTGATATCAGCAATATTCAGAACAGAAGGTAGCTGATGAAAGTACATGAGTAAACATGACAGAAGCGAGCTGAAGAAGTTTGGTGCACTCCGCATTGTGTCTCTCACGTTGACATCAATACCTTGCGATATGTTGTAAAGGTAGCAAGAGGTCACTACGGCTACGGCTTGGGTGGGCTGTGGAAAGATGTCAACAAGAAAGAAACAATGTGCAGTTTCCTTTATGAAGCATCATGTCGTCATCAGTAATGTTGACTTCAATGATATTGCGTAGTACTAACTCAAAGTCGTCTCACTCGTTACTATGTATTAGTGCCCAAACGGACTGCCGAGGAAAGTAAATATAATTAAAGCAAATTGAAGTTTGGTGTGGTTGGAAGCAGGTTGCCAACATTGACATTGTTGCATCGTATTCACTGTACTGCCAGTGGCCTTACTGCTGCCTAAATGGGCTGCCGAAGAAAGTGAACACGGACAAAACCAGCTCCAATCAACTCTTACATTGATGTCAAAGGTGGGATATAATATTCCTTGATTGGTAGTGCTCCCTAGACGGGTTGCAAAACAAAGTCAACCGAAGAAACTTGCGTCTCGAACATTATTAGCAACATTGCTCAGTAGCGGTAAGCACTACGTTGTTACCAGTGCTGCCTAAAAGGGCTGCTGAAGAAAGCCAAGAGTGTAATTCTGGATTGTACTGCGAAACGAATCAATAACTGCTTAGAACGCGTGCTGCTGCTGCTGCTTTACTCCAGCTAGTTTGCATGTCCGTGTTTTTGTTGAAGTGTGTGTGTGTGTGTGTGTGTGTGTGTGTGAGTGAGTGTGTGCGTGGCTAG